TAAATTATAATTCACATTCGTTACTCTAATTTTATGTAGGAGTGGTTTAAGGAAACAGAGAAAATAACAAATGAAAACATCATAAAACTGATCATATAACAATTATGATCCCTGAAATTCTTGGTAATACCAATATTCACTTTGTCTGGTTTAGTTACAGCATGCACCATTTAACATTAGTTGGCTGTTTTAGTCGATTATTTAGTGTTAGTCGATCATTTTAGTCGACTCCATTTTTGAATCTTTCACTTTTTCAAAATACTTTACACAAAACCATGTGTTACGATTCGTTTTTTAAAGGTCTTCTGGAACCACCACTTAAATCATTGGAATTTGAAGCCAATGAACTATTGGATCTTGTATCGGAAGTGTTTATTAATTCATTGTCGTCATCATCATATTGATGATATTGATACCCTTCCGCATAGAAACTTTCCATTTTGAATGATAAAACACAAAAATCATAATTGGTCAGACAATAATAATAACCAAATATATAATTCTGTTTTTTTTTTGCAACACACTGTATGTATGTGTGCGCGTATATATATTATTTCTTTACCTGATTATCATGTTCTATATATTAGTTGTAATAATTTTTATAACCTATATAGTTTTGTTTTTTTTTTTTAAGGATTCTTTGTAATCTTTGAAGTAATAAAAAAAATATTGTTTTTTCTTATTATTATTTTTAATAATTTAATAATAGTTTATATGTGTGTGTGAGTATATATATTACTTCTTTACCTGCTTATCATTCACCCACTATTTACACTTATTATAATTGTTTTAATTTTGTTATCATTTGTAGTTTATTTGCAAACAGAAGTAAAATGAATATAATTGTTACTAATCTTATATATAATATATGTTTTCTTGGTAATTAACAATTAACAATGTCATTTCGAGCCCAATCAAGAGAAAATTTGAGAAGTATAAAGCTTTCAACAATAATAACTTAACTTTTTTGCATCGGCTGTTCAAAAACTCTTGTGTGTAAAGTTTTCTATGTAAAGTTCTCTTTTTACTATGAAACGTATGACATTTTTAATTTCTGAAGGGGTGTCAGAATTGGAAGATCGGCAAATATCTATATGTGCAACATTGAGTTGTCCCCCCATACCCCTAGATATTATTATTTAGCAATGTGAGTTTATATTATGTGGTTTTTTTTATAAAATCCATATCACGTGAATCTGTTGTGACGTGATTAGTGCTTATTACTATTACTATTATTAAAATCCTACTACTACCAAAAAATCTGTTGTCCATTGAAACATGATTTAAATATAAAATCTGTTGAAATGATAATTTTTTAATTAATAAAATCAAGGGGTAAAACTAAAAATCTGTTGAAACAAAAATCCATTGAAACGAGGGTTTGACTGTATATTTGATTCATCAATTGCTAATAATTTTTTTGATGAAAGTGATTTTAATAGTATTAGTGATATAGAAAATGATGAAAATCAAAATATTAATAGTACAGTCAACCCCCTCTAAGTGCACCCCCCTCGGGAATGAGTGATAGCATGCACTTAGAGGGGGTGTGCACTTAGAGAAACAAAGCATTTCATTGGTTGCA